GCAGGCCGGGTGTCCCCGGGCCTGGCATCGCACCTCGGACTGGCAAACGCCTTTCGAAAGGCATGAACTGTCACCAGGACAGGGTTGGGCTGCTGCTCCACGAGGCCATGAACCTCAAGAGAAAGGCCTCCCTCTGCGTTCTGGGGAACAAGCCCCGGCCCGGACAGAATGAATTGGAAGTGTCGGTGTGCGTGAAGGAACGGCAGGAGCAGCCACACTCCTGCACAGCCCAGGGCAGGGAGGCAGTTGTGCCTACAGTGACCATGGAAGCCCCTGCTCTGCAGGTTCTCATCTCCATCGTGCTGAAGATGGACAGCAACCACCCTGAAAGAGGTTGGTATGCTGACAATAGTACACAAAAGAATTCCACTAATTATCCTTTTGGCACTTTACAGAGAAGATGAATATTGCTATTACACCTGGTCAGATGAGGTGTTAGTTCCACAAAAATAGACTCTGCTTTTTGTAGGCAAAGTGGAAACAAATGTTGTGGGTTTGGGTTGTTTGGTTTTTTTCTTAACCACAGCAAGATGCAGGATAAAAAAAAGCATCTGTGGAAACTAAAGGATGTTTGAGTTGGATGCTGGATTTGCAAATTGTCTCCCTTCTATAAACTAGTTTCCTGGTGAGTAGCAAAATCAGAACAAAAGTAGGGAAAAAGGCTGAATGCCAAAATCCATCAGAATCCCCCTTAAAGTAAGGACTAGATATTATGTGCCAGTGTTTCAAATCTTTACCATTAATTTTTTATTAAAATGGAGGCTGTTTCCCCTTTCCCAGTCCCTTGGAACTTCACCAGACTGTTGTGTCTCTTCAACTATGATGGATAGTGGCTTAGGATCTTCACCTGCCAGTTCCCTCAGATGCATCTCATCAGGTCCCATGGACCTGTATCTAAGTGTCCATATCTGCTGCTTTAGTGGAACATCATCTGTGTAGTTCAAGACAAGCAAAAGTCCTTAAGTAGCCAGGGAGGTAGACAGCAATGATACCCACTAAGACATCATCCAAAGAACTTCAGTAAAAAACAGAGGTAACAGGGCAGAATCAAATTTCAAATATATTTAACTCAAGCAGACAAGCTCTTCCCAGTCCCCCAGTTAGCAGTAGTCCTGTGTTCTGGAACACATCTGCCCTCTGACTGGAATGACTTGCTGAGAAGTACAGCAGGTTCTCACATCTCAGCACAGACAATTTCATGTAGGTTGCACCTTTGCCTGCTGGAGCACATCTGCCTTCAGCTGTGGGCTCTAGGATCTCCTGCCCCTCACGTGAAGGCAGCAATGAATGTCACTGGAAAGAAGCGATGGCAAGCCCCATCTGCTATGTCACACTCAGTGCACAGGTTAGAGGTATCAGCATTGTTCATGGTGTTACAGAAGACAGGTTGAGTGGGGAGACACGACGTGTGGGAGTGTTGTTGGCTGACAATGATGCCGGGAGGAAAAAGGGAGCAGCAATATCTGTGGATGATGTTTCTCCTTGGTTGCGAAGCTGCAGGATCTGGCGCAGCAGGGCCTTTCCTTCTTCTCTAGTCTGAAAAGTTTGTGAAAAACAAAACAATACATCTATGAATGGGTGGTTTCTGGGTCAAATTCAGTATGCAGGCAGTGTCAGTGTTAGTAGTTTGTCATTCTATAAGCCTGCAAGCTATGAAAACCACCCTCTTTTTTCTTTTACTTAAAAATGTTAAGGTATGTCGCTTTTTTTTAGTTTTTCCTCCTTTTTCTCACCCAATTTGCACATTACTTAGTTATTTCAGACAGCATTACCATCAACCACTGAAGCTGTCTAAATATTCCAGCAAATGTAGAATGGAGACGCTTCAAACAAGCTGAATTCGGGTTCTCTGAAGTTCCAAGACAGCTTTGTTAGGGATAGGCCAAACACCCTGCACCTCATGGCTAGTCTCTAGCACCAGGCTGAAGTTACAAACTGAAAACTGCCCTATTGCAGTTGGAGAACATCTCAGAAAATGGGGTCACACAGAAAACCCAAGTACTGTTAGATCCTCTGCACTGTCTAGACACAGAAGATCAGAAAAACAGAAGTTATGCGAGTACCATCACTACAGAATGCTGGGAGTCTGACCATTTAACCACCTCCTAACCTCCAACATTTGCAGCAGTCTGAAGACTGCCATGTGGAACCACAAATTCTTTTCTGTAGTGAACACCAATGAGACAGGGTTCAGTTTTATTATCTACATCATATTCCATTACTTTAGTCAATCATGAGCAGCATTAGTGATCAGGTATCCACCACCACCACTCAGGATGTGACCTGCATGGCAGACAGCCCTCATTCCTTCATAAAGGATTCCTTCTGCTCCAAGGCAAGCCGAGATCAAGGTCATAGATCCCGCAAGACAGATAGACCCAAGATTGCACAGCTACTCACATCATTGAAGGCACAGCACTTCTGGGCACAGGCCGAGGCTTCGTCCCACAGCTTGCACTTGAAGTAGTACTGGGCCAGATAACGGAAGGCAGTGCTGACCTCCAGGTGCTCTACTATCTCCTACAGCAAGGGGGTAAAACCCAGCATCTCTGAGTGACTTCCAGGGTCATTCCATACTGTTTCCTTTTCCTTTTATTCCCAAGATATCATCTTACCCCACAGGAATAAATATCCTGGATGTACTTGATATAGCACTGAGCTGCCTGTTCAGACTCATTCAGCTGTTCGTGCAGCCTAGAAGATGAGAAAAAGAGACTGCTGGAACAAGACTGCTCTGTCGGAGACATTCCTGATCTATGTGAAAGCACCTGCTCACCCCCACCTGGGCTAAACCCAGGTCTTTTCCTTCAGTTTGCAGACGTTCACCGTGTGCTGCTCCTCATGGAAAGGGACACCTAGGTTGAGAACACTTACACTACCAGGGAGGGAGCCAGTCAGACACTGCTAGAAGCAGTGACATCCAAAGCAGGGACCTTTGCTACTCTGGTACATTAGAAAGTTTTTAACAGATTTCTGCCACCCTATTTACTGGCTATTTCGTCCAGTGCTCCTTTTTCCCCTCTACATCCCAAAAGTCTTTGTGCAGCAGCTTCACCTTTCACTTGCCCTTTTCCTTCCCCTTCACTCTTTATACTTCATATTACCTTATTCCCACCAAAAATTAGTGCTATAATCAGTGTTTACATTTTTTTCACATTTGGCCCTTTCCTAGTATCACCACCATTTACTGGGATGGGGAGGAGGGAAATAAAAAAATAAAACCATCTACATTTTTTTACATCATCTACCATCATGGATTGCTTTAAGTTTCAATACAACAAATAGTGTTTCTAGCACTGCCTGCTGAAATCACCTCAGGATTCAGGGTCCCTTGGAACCCACATTATGCTACAATTCCTTCTAGTTCTCCTGAGGAGAACTTAAAAGCTAAAGCTGGACACCAGAATATGCAGTCACTACAGACCTAAAGATGCCAGTTATTACACAGCTCCAAAAATACTACTACCCAATAGCAACTCCTCTTCTTTACTATTACTATCATTAGGTGTCAAAGTGCTAGTTGCATTTAACACAGTATTGACAGTTCAGCAACAATCCATACTCACTTTGCTAGTTTCACCAATGCCATTTTCTCCACATCTCCCACAGCATAAGCTCTCCAATAGCACTGTGAAGGAAAGTCAGTCAAGCACACCACAAAAACTACCCCAGTTCATGACTCATGCAAGCAAGTTAGAAACAGAAGACAAGATGGCCTTCCAGCAAAGGGGCATGTATCATCTGTAGGCGACTCCTTATTTATCAGCTGCTCTAGTGACATGGCAGCAGAACTCTCTCAACTGTACCTGCCACAGAAATGGTTTCAGTAAGCTCCCAACAACACACCATTTGCATTTCCAGCAGCACCAGCTACACAGTTTTGCTGCAACTCTATCTGTTGTTCCAGGAGACATTCTCATATCTCACCCCACACAGCAGTTCCCACTTACCTTTTTAGCTTCCACCAACTGATTGAGTTTCTCATAGCATTCTCCTAGAGCCACCAGCATTCGAGAATCGTTTGGTCTGTAAAAGAGCAATTCCCAGTGGTGGCTTAAGGACAGCCAGCTGATCCCTGGGAGGGGTGGGGCAAGGGGGAAAAAAATAATAACCTACATCTGGCAGCATCTATCATCCTCACCTACATAAACTATCACTTATGCTCCTGACCAGCCTTCCTTGGCATTTAACTGACAAAGCCTTCTGTTAACAGTCAACACAACTAAAAGATTTGGAATAGTGAGACTGCACAAATCACACAGCATTGATATTATTCCTCAACTTAGTTCCTGCATGTAAATTCCTTAGCTAGTAGCAACCACATCAGTGTGAACACCAATGAACGCTGCTCCATTCTCAACTCTACCTGAGCTGGTGGGCCCGGCGGTAGTAATAGAGACAGTAAAATGGCATTTTGAGGATTTCATAGGTCTGGCCCAAGCCATACCATGCTCTGTAGTCCCTTTTGTTCACCTCTATTGCATGTCTGTCAAAGAAAGGGAGATAAACTAGTCAGCAAGCAGTCAGGATCAACACCAAGACAAAATTCAGCAAGAGACTAACAAAAAATAGAGGATGCTACTTCAATCCTTATGGATGCAGATTCAAATACCCCTTTGAGCAGTACATGAGTGGTACCTGTAAGCCTGGATAGCTGCAGATGTGTTCTTCATTTCCATATATTCATGTCCCATGAGTGTCCAGGCTCCCAGATAGCGAGGATTCAGTTTCAAGGCCCTCTGGAAATAGAGCGCTGCTTTTTCGTGCTGGGAACGCAAGCTGTAATAATTCCCTAAAGCAACAGTAAAAATATTTAAATTTAGAAAACAAAACCAAGAACAACAACAAAAAAAAAACCTCAGCAGAGGAGTAGAAAAAAGACTGAAGAGGCATTACCTACTACCTCCTAACATAGATTTAAAGAGTCCTAGTAAAGGCAGATCTGACTCAAACCTCAAGAGACCACCCCACAGCAGCCCATTCTCCAGTGTTCTGGTCAATCCATTCCCAGTTGTATCAATCAACTAAGATCCCATCCCCCTAGCCCTCAAACTTATGTCATGATCTAACAGATTAATTTCCTGGTCCTGACACAAAATTATTTCCACTGAAGTTTCAAGGCTACAAATAAAGGGACTACCAGGGGCTTCCATGATTCCTCCAACTCCTCCCTGCACTGATAGTTTTACAGCAGCTTTTTCAGAGAGAAGTGAGGGAAAAGGGAACCCTGTCATTTAGTCTGCTCTTCAAGCTGCCTCAAATCACATCCAGTAATGGTTTTGGTAGCCTTACTGGCTAATCATTTTCACAGCTACTTCCAAGACTTCCTCATACAGCCTGCAGAGAGGGTAAGGAGAAGAGGTGAAGAGCTGGTCTCACCAATGACACAGCAGGTCTCCACACGGTACTTGTCTATCTCGCAGAGGTTGTGGGCCAGGTAGCTCAACTCAGGCTTCATGCTCTAGTGAGACAAAGAAATGAAAGTGATGAGAAAAGGAGCAGATTAGTTTCAAAGAATACCTAGGCAGTTAGCAATGCATGCATTGCATCTTTTTCATGGTGTGAAGCAGAAAGCAGCAGCTGAAAGCCCACATTCAGAGAGGCTGTACAGCACCAGCTGCCCTCCCAGTGTGCAACATACTCTGACAAACACCATCACTGTGGACAAGCAGTGGAAATAACTTACCCTTACATATAGCAAGTTGGAGAAAGTGTCCATGTTTTCTATCCTGTAAGGATCTTGTTTCCTTAGCTCGTTAAAGATGGATAAAGCTTTGTCAATATCTGCAGAAACAACAGGAGATGGAAGAACAAGAACTACACAAATGCCAGGCTGGCCTTACAAGGCTCATCCCTCCTCATGTCACTGACCTCGGATATTGTGGTAGGCAACTGCAATCTGAGAGATGATGTATGTGCTTTTGGAAAATCCTGCATCAATGAGACTCTGATACTTCTGCAGAGCCTCTTCTATCAGCTGCAGCTCTGTATAAATGTGTGCAAGAAAGAACTCTTTCATCCATGTATCTGGCAAGGACAGGAACTTCAACTAGCAAGAACCAAAGAAGAGAAGGAAGAGATGAAAATCAGTAGTAATCTAACAGCCACCTGTGGCAAAGAATTCATTCTCTTCCCTCCCATGATTTAGCAGATGGTCTGGAGGTAGGGGGCTTTCTCACAATTGCTTTCTTAAACCATAACACCAGCTACAAAAGAGCAGTATTAGGACCAAGAATTAATATCAGGTTCTTCCAAATAATGGCTATAAACTGAGAATACTGAGAAAAGAAAGGACCATTAAAGCACCCAGTCTAAAAAGCAGTACAATATGGACCACATAATTCTATTTGATCACTGCCATTCTACTCTCATTACTGCTGAAATTGCAGAATAATTGAAGCATTTAATTTTATCAATAAAGAAATTATTGTCTTCAGATCTGACAGCACCTGGCTTCTGCTTCAGCCACTGGCCTTGGAAAGACTGTACTTTCTTCCTGTGTTTGAACATCATTATTGCCTCATAATTTTTGATGCTAGGATTCAATTTTGTAGAACTAGAATCAGATTAAGGAAAATAAAAAAAATTAAAGAGAAGTATCTTAGGAGGATCTCCTTCATCTGACAAGGCAACAACCCTGCTGACTACTGCTTCAGAACACAGGAATTAGCCATTTCTTCAACTACTTTGTAGGTGAGTGATAATAAATTAGCCCTGCCTGGATGAAGATTCTCAACTGCACCATGACAAACAATTAAAGAAAAAGAGACTTTAACAACATAACTTACAATCTTGAATCGCCTTGCCTGAGGGAGTCTCACAGAACAAAGCAGTGGGTGATATCAATCTTGTGGCAATTGAACCACTGGTTACTGAATCAGGTCAAACTCTCTAATTTGTTACCACATCTCGATCTCTCCCAAGTTTTACCATCTCTTTATCTGTAATCAAGTTGCAAAGTTCCAGCCAGGCTCCCCAGTGCAAAGGTAGGACATGGGTAGCTTCAACAAATACATCTATGGCTTCTTTCACCAGGTCCAGCTTCCGCAGCACGACACCATACCTGGGAAGGTACCAAGTTAATCAGAATCATAAAACTCTGCCTCTCCGCACAAACACACAATAAATACACACCAACACTTACAGATAAAGGCCAAATCCATCCAGTTCCCGTGCCTTGTGTTTCTTGCTGAGCTCAACTCTCAGTTCTCGTAGGGCTTCATTCTTCACCTGTCCTTTTTCCAGAGGTCCTGCATGAAGAGGAAGTCAAGCAGCTGGTTTTCAATCAAGATTCTTACCACAGCAATTACAAAGCTGAGAAGGCTTCTCTGTCTGTGATTATTTTCCTCTTTCAGAAGAAAATAATTCAGCCTGACCACCTGCTTTAACATAAGAACTGATTAAAATCTGTAACCTGTGTTAAGCCAATTAACTGAGAATAAAATAAATCATGTTTCAGTGGACTGTTAGGCAAAAAATTGGGGGAAAAGCCATAAACCCAAGATGATTTACATGATACAGCATTACTAGAAGCTTAATTATATTGTCTTGTGCTCCTTGATGCTGGAGACTTACCCAAACTATCCACTGTCTCATCATCCTTCTTCTTTTCCCCTGACTGTGGAAAAAGGAAAATCAAGGTTACATCAAGCAGCATATTCCTCACATTACTGGGATACTGGGAGAAAAATGCAAATGAGTTTTCACAACTGTCACCGTCCCAAAAAGAACACTCCTATCTCCCCCCAAACATATAATTTGGGCTAGGTGGTAATTTGGAATAGAATAGGCAAAAAAATAAGGTACGTCAGGAAGGGAAAGGAATCAGAGGATTCAGTGCTGAAAGACAAGTTTTCCTTCTCTCTTACCAGGTACCTGGAGTACATGTACAAGAAATAAGCTTTCTGACTCTTGCAGCCCCGCAGGAAATAGGCAGCCCGGTCATACTCCTTGAGATCAAAGTAAGACTTGGCCAAAGTGTAGGCATCGAGGTCACGAGCATCCTCCTGCAGGGACACATAAGGGCTGTGAGACCTCAGAGCCTCTAACGCTTTAGGGAAATCACCCAGTTGTAAACAGATCAATGAAACTTCTCTGAAAGCTAAAATCACCACTGAAACTCTGCCTGTTCCCTCATGTGAGCAGATTCCCAGTTTCAAGTAATTAGCACAGACTAGTTAGAAACACTTAAAAGAAACAGGTTCCAGAAAGCACTTTGCAGCAAGCTGCCAGAGGCATAAACTGCTGTTCAGTTAGTATGGATGCCCATAAATAAGGAAACTACTGAGGAACTCCCTATCAAACAATATTAACCCACTAACCACAATGCAAACCTTTGTTGGTAGCTGTGCCTTTCAACACTTCATGACACATCACACTGGTGCAATTTAACAAAAGAAGCACACACCTAAACGTCCTGCTCTACACCTGCCGAGGGGGGATGGAGATACAACATATTCCTCTTGCGTCCCAAGGAGCACAAGTTGAATGGCACAACGTAGTTTGTGTTACAGTAAGATTTGGCCTTAGCAAGGACAAATAAAATGTTAAACGAAGCAGCATCATTCCAAACTTTGCTCAGAGCGCCGCATCCAGGGCGCAGCAGCACGTGAAATGGAAGTTTCCTCCGGGAAAGCACATGCAGCCCCACACGAAACGGAGCGGCCGGGAACGGCCCCGCTCCGATCCGCGCCCGGCGCGGCTCCGCAGGTGCTCAGCGCAGCTCGGTCCCGCCCCGCTGCGCCTCCGCGCCCCGGCAGCGCCCCGGTCCGTACCTCGGTGAGCG